CGGTGGGCGTGGCGGGGGCTGGGGGGGGGCGGTGGCCGCGGCGCCATTGCCCCCGGCCCCTTCAGACTTGCCGAAGTTGAAGAGCTTGCCGGGATTGAATGGCTTGGTGGGTGACTGGACCTTCTCTGTCCCCGTGTCCCGCTTAGTCTCGGGGGATTTCAGGAACTTGAAGCTGAGGAAGCCAGGGAGTTTGTTCTCGCTGCCGGTGGGCGACTGGGGGGACCTGGCGGTGGCCGTGCTGCCGGCCCCGGCCCCCCCGGAGAGGAACTTGCCCTGCAAAGGGATGATCTGCTTCAGCTTCATCACGTTGTTGGTGGCCAGGAGGGAGCTGGGTCGCTTGGGCTTGTCGGAGCCGTGCGAGGAACCCCCGGAGCCCTTCCCTTTGCTCTGGCTCTTCTCGGGGGCCGGGTCCTGCCCGGCGGCCTCGGGCTTGGCCTCATCGCGGCTGGACTCGCGCTCCTTGCGGGCCTGGTACTCGGCATGCCGCTGCCGCTCCTCCTCCTCCCGCTTGCGCCGCTGCTGCTGCTGGAAGTGGTGCTGCGCCTGCCGCTCGTGCTTCTGTCAACGGAGAGCACGTTAGCCCCAGGGACATCCCGGGGAGCCCACTGGCCCCGGGGATGGGGTGGCCTGGGTCCGTGCTCGGCCCCAAGGAGGGTCCCACCCCGGCATCGCCTACCTTGAAGGCCTCGCGGCGCTGGTACTCCAGCTTGGCCATCTCCTCGGCCACCCAGGCAGGGATGTCGGGGATGGCCACTTGGATGATGTACTTCAGGAACAGGGCGAAGTGCTGCGGGGGGGGGCACGTGGGTCCAGCTGAGCATCCCCACCCCGGCCCCGTGGGCACGGTGACCCCCTCCCAAAATGCACCCTGCAAGGGATGGGGGACCAGAGAGACCCTACAATAACACCCTGGGGGATTCTGGGCCCCATCGCATTGCTCGGCAGCACCCACTGCCTGCAGGGAGCTGCCTGGGGTTGCAGCGGAGGGTTTAGGGCTGAGACCCCATCCGCGGAGGGGAAGGTCTGCGGGAGCCCTTGGCTGTCTGAGCCAAGACAACACCTTGTCACGCACCGGGAGACCCTACAATAACAGACGGCCACGGAGCGGGCGGCGGGTGCAAGCCCCGGGCGCGAGCACCATACCTCCAGCACCACCACGGAGATGATGGCTCCCTCGGGGCTGAGCCAGGGGAAGAGGCGCTGGAGCTGCCCGCACTGGGCGATCAGGTAGCAGTTGACCACGATGGCCAGGACGCCCATGGCCTCCATCACCTTCTGCAAGAGCGACAGTGCCGGGGATGAGCCCCCGGCCAGCTGGGACTCCGCCAGGCCCCCCACCGCCCCCCCAGCCCACCTGCCACTGCCCGATGCTCTCGACCCGCTGGCCGAAGGGACGCTGGAGCCCCGTGCACAGCTTGAAAGCGTCGCTCCGGATCTCGATGACGTTGTTCACCAGGGCGCACATGGCGGCCAGGGGGAAGGCGGAGGAGAAGAGCACCACGTAGCCGAACTGGATGAACATCTCCTGGTAGTCCTGGAAGGTGTCCTGGGGAGGAAGAGGAGGAGGAAGAGCACGTTGCAATGGGGCTGGGGGAGGGGGGTACAATGCATCCCACCAGCCCCGTGCCCTCCTTGGGGCTGCTCACCTCGTACTTCTTCATGCAGCTCTCCACCTCCGCCTGCGTCAGCTGCGTGGAGTAGTCCTCCTCCGGCGGGTCGATCCACGACGCCCGGTTGCGCCTTCGCCCTTCCTCCTCACCCTCTTCCATCTCCCGGCTCTCAGCCGCCCGCCTCCTCCGGCCAGCCCGCGGGACCACTGCCGGCTCCGCCGCCTTGACCGGGCTGCCGGGGGGACCTTCGGCCTCCTCCTCATCCTCACACAGCTCGAAGACAGACGCGGGGTCCATGCCCTTCTCCACCATGGTGGGGCTGCCCTCCTCGAGGAAGCTGTCGTCCTCGGGGCCGCCGGGCTCCCCGCCGCGCCGCTCCGCCTTCTCAATGAAGCTCACCTTCTTCAGCTTCAACCCGCAATCCAGGGTGCTCTCGTCCTCCGAGTCCGACTCACGCCGCTCTTCCTCCTCCTCCTCTTCCTCCGGCACCCCGCAGCC